TATTATAAATCTTTACATCTAAAATAGCTTATATTTAATAAGGATATGAAATTTTAAAAATTATAACTATGTTATCGTGTCAAGAAATAAATTATAGGTTTTCTTGTGGTCATTATAAACACACAACGTGGCCCTTATAGCTAAATTTCTATTTAGGATTCGATAAATATTTTTATTTCCGCCTAAATGTTATTATCGACAAACCACACCTAAAGTCAGCAAATTTTACTCATGCCAAAGTCAACTATCAAATATTGAGCCCAAATTTGGTTTTCTACCTAATTGTCGTCTCTTAAATTTAAACAAGATTTTGACCGACACGAAACATGGAATTACAATTTTAAACATATTTTTTAATTGTTTTTAATATTTAGACGTGTATTCTAATATTTCTAAACGTACAAAATGATATGTATTGTGTATAAATGTAATAAAATTAAATTTTTACCAAACATATTTCAATGTCATATGTTTTGATCAATTTTGCATAAAAATATTAAAAYTAATGCAAATGTTATTTATTTCAATTTATTTGAAGTGTCAAATTGAGTTTTATTATTTGTATAAAATTATAGAGTATGCGATAAATCCAATAAATTTTAGATTTATATAAATTTGTCAGACGTAACAAACAAAAAATATATGTTTTCTAATAATAAAATRTAAAAATATTTATAAGTGTAGTTATCAACTACAAATAAATAATATTATTAGAAATATAATAATAAAAATCTTTTTAATATATCATTTAAAAAAATAGATGATATAGTAAGTCTAAATATTACATTAGTTAAACTTAATTCTGTAAAATTTATATTAATGGGTTATGTTATAAAATTAATAAAAACATATAGAGATTTTCCCCATGGCATATTGTTTTAATTAAAATATTTTCATTAGTTAATTTAAATGACATATTCCTTAAAATATTCATTGAATAATACATATGATTTTTTCACCAATTGTCTATTCAATTAATATATAGAGGATTAGTGGCATTTTAAAGAAAATTTCAAAATGATGACATTTTTGAAAAGTGGCATTTTTAAAAAATTCTCTACATTTTATCTAAGTATCATGCAAATTAAATTTTGTAAGATAAAATATATTTATCAATATATTTATCTATACTGGAGATATATCTTTGTTATTTTTAATTTCTTCCATATATTAAAAAAATCATGAATTTTTTTTTAATATCCTAACGCAAGTCAAAAATCTAAAAATCATTGAAAAACAAAAGATATTCTCACATATACTTTATATTTTAAATAAAATCTTCCATATTAATTATCACATATTCCTTACTTCCATATTTGTTTAATAGTTATATATTGTATATATGATATAAATTTAGTCTAATTATTTACACAATAATGTCATTAAAAAGTTTTAATAGTTTTCATTAAATTTTTTTTTAAAATCCTCTTTGGTTGACACCTAGGATTTTCACCAAGTGTCTCCTAGCTCTATTAATATATAGAGGATTATAAAAAAGTTTCAACCAATCAGTTAAAGACATTTGTTAAGTGAGCCTCTCACAAATTTTTCATAGGTTGAGAATAGTTCTCTATTTTTACTTTTTCATATTATTATTAATTCTTTTAAAATAAGAAATTTATTGAGAAACCTCTAATGAATGTGCTCTAATCAACCATGAGAGGCAGCATGACAAGACAACCATCTAGCAGGCTCAACGCCATAACTAAATCTCCAACCTTACAGATTTCAACATTCTTTGAGGCTTGGATCCCGAATCTAATCAACTCTTCCATCGATTTCGAAGATCCTGACCCCATCAGCGGAATGATCCAAGCCTCAAAGAATCTTCAAAATTAACGGAGGAGTTGATTAGATTTAGCATCCAAACCTCACAGAATGCAGAAATTTGTAAGGTTGGAGATTTAGTTCTAGCGTTGTGCCTGATGGATGGTTGTCATGTAATGCTGCCTATGATGGTTGATTAGGGCGTCTTTTTGGACGA